ACTCTGGGCCTGGGCGCTGTCCCTCAGCTCTTCAGCTCAAGGCTAGCACTCTACCACTTGAGCCACAGTGCCACTTCCGGCTTTTTTCTTTTTTTGTTTATGTGGTACTGAGGAATCAAACCCAGAGCCTCAGGCATGCAAGGCAAGCACTCTACCACTGAGCTACCTTCCCAGCCCTGTGATTATTTTTAAAAAGAAAGCAAGGCTTACAATCTACTCCTTGGTTATAGAAGTAGCATTAAACAACCAGAATAGGTCAAGATAGCTGACATTCACCACCTTATCTCTGGAGATCATAACATTAGTCGTTATCAATAGCAGTCAGTTAGGAAGAGAACAAGGTTTTAGTACGTACACCAAACAGGCCTCAAATTTATGACAGTACTGCCTCAGCCTCCTTGAGTGCTAGAACTATAGGTATGTACCACTATGTCTGGCATTCATCTATTTTAGTAGTAGGTTGCTATAGTAGTTTATGAACTGAACTACATATATGCATTTCTTTTTAGACCCTTTGTTATAGTTTGAGGGCCAGAAGAGGATTGGAAGGGAACATAGGATGGCAGCAGAGATGACAAATATAAACTGAGTAAGAAGCCTATGATATCCCCTATGGGTATATAATGAAGACCGTTAGTTCCTGGAGGACAATTTTTTTTATGAAACCATAGATACTTTTGCCTGGCTGATTTCTCCAGTAGTTATGTAATTTGTACAACAAATATATATATTCATAGAGGGCATCCTCTCTACCTCCTAAAACACATTAGCAAGACAAAGAATACCATGCACAAATGTGATATTTGCTTAGTTTATTCACATTCCAACATCAGAAACACAAAACAATGAACCTTAATCATTTCAAATTATAAAGGAAGTCATGCAGGATTTCCGGTGACTCTTGTGAGCTCCCTGCCCCCTGGGATTTACGCTCTTGGCCTTCCAGCCCTCTTTTCATTTCATCTATGTCACCTACTCTCCAGGTATGTTAGGCCCAAAGGCCCAGAAAGGCCCCAGGAGAGCCAGAGAGAGTAGTATCATAGGGAACAGGAAGTCAAATGAGTCAGGATCATTGGCTCCCAAGACTGCAGCTCTTGAGGCAGTGTCATTAATCCATTGTTGATAGTAGATCACACTGGTATAGACCCCAGGAAGCCTTTGACCACATTGCACTCCCCAGCTAACCACTCCTATTTGAATCCAAATGCCACCAATATGACAGGACAGCGGCCCTCCAGAGTCGCCCTAAGGAAGAGGGAAATGTGATGAGTTGGTGGAAAGCGTATGGAAAGGAGTATTCATAGTGGGGAATCTTCTTCAGCACAGGCCTTGAGACCTCAGGAGCTGTGGCACTCTGAGGGATGTGGATGTTGTACTCTAGTCTTGGGAGGAGGCCACAGGAATTCTAGAGCCAAAATATTTGAAATTGGAAAGGTCTTAGCAAAATATCTTGGTCATTTCAAAACATTCAGCTACATGATAAAGCAGAATCAAATGAGTGTGATCAATTTTCATACATCAAGTCTTTCATTCACAAAATGAAATAATCATTTGAATGAACCACTCTTGTTTTCTGTTCTTAGGGTCTTACTGCCTATTTATGTTCAAATAATCATTTGAAATAAAATAAGTGATAGTAGTTGATAGTATGGCTTTCAATTTCATTCTTTTTTATAACAGCTTTATAACATTCATATACCATATTATATGTGTAACTTTATTATTATAAAATTCATATGCTATAAAATTTGCACTTATGAGCACACATGGCTTTGAATATATTTATAGTATTACGCAGTATCACCATGTTCATTATGAACATTTCCCTTCCATACCTCATTTTTTCCCAATCCTCCCAGCTCTAGACAGACTGGTGATCTACTATCTACCTTTTATGAATTTGCTTATTGTGGACATTTTATATAAACAAAATCATACATTATAATTTTGTATATCTTATAATATTATATAATACTATAATAAATCATATAATATTATAATTTCATATTAGCTTTGCATACTTTTTTTCAAGGTTTATCTGTTATACTCCAATATTCCATTCCTTTTCATGGCTGAATAATGTTCCATTATATTGTTATACTACATTCTGTTTGCCCATTTGTTAGCTGATGTATGTTTGAAATTTGTCCACCTTTTGGCTATTACAAATCATGTTGCTGTGAACATTTATGTGCAATTTTTTTTCAGCACTGGGGATCAAACTTAGATTAAATGGTTCCTTAGTTGTTCAGAGGAGTTACATCCTTTGGTCAATTTGTTGTATATATAAGCATATAACCCTGAATTGAAGGTCTTTCTTATGTCAGAACCAAACTGTCTTTATTACTGTTGCTTTGCAGTAAATTTTGATGTCAAAAATATGGCTCTACCAAATTTGTTGTTCTCATTCACTTGAATTTCCATAGAAATTGTAGGATCACCCAAGTGTGTATGGTCTCTGTGCTCTCAAGAAGAGGTTGTAGCCTGCTATTCTTAGGACTCTGTTTTTAAAGTTTTACATGAGAGTAACTTCTCTCAGATACTGCAGATAACAGTTATAAATTGTGGAAAGAATATAAAAGCCAATTCTCTGGAGATAGTGGAGAGTTGCCAGAAGTGGCAGAAGCTAGAGTTAACTCTTTTTTTTTGACAAAATGGTTTTTCCCTAACATAGTTTCAGTTATTATCCTATGGGGTGGCTGCAGCTGAAACTTAAACCCACAGTCCTAAAGGCTTATGAAGCAAGATAAAGCTCCCAGCTACTGTAGTAGTTTGAAAGTGAAGGGAAAAATACCAGAAAGGAAAAAGCCACATGAAGGAAGCCCCAGTGTGTAAACTCTGTTCTAATGGCTGGGTGACCCTGAACTACGTGCAAGATGGGTAGGTGCCAAGCCACACAGCTCAGACTAAAGGGATGGCTGCTGCCTCTCAGGTTGGAGTGTGGGGTCAGCCAAGCTAATGGTCTATTCTTTACAGGAATCCATCTTTCCAACATCCCATCACTGACAACATCCAGGATAGGATCCGAAATTACTAGATGTTAAAGCAAATAAACAACAACACAAAGACACAGAGAGAGGTTTCCTAAGATCAATTGGCAGTTGTTATTTGGGAGGAAAGGCAATAAGTGGAAAATACTGCTATTATAACTCTGGTTTTAGAATTACCAAGTAAAGATCTCTAAGCAGCTATTCTAAGTGTGATCAATACATGTGGAGGGAAGTATGCAAATAATATACAGATATTCAGAGCTCTTAGGAGAGATCTAGAAAAATGTGTGTATGCACACACACGTGTGTGTGTGTGTCCATGCATGTATGTATGAGAGAGAATAAAACCAAATGGTCATTCTAGAACTAAAAAAAATTACCTGAAATTTAAAAATTTCACAAGGTGCACTTACATAATTGTACGGTGTAAATGGCAGCAAAAAGGGATAGTGGTCTTCAATGCAGATTAAAATGCTTGGAAGAGCAGAGTGAAAGTATTAAAAATAAAATGGACTTGTCTATAAATATCAAATGGCATATCTTATGTAATTTACATATAAAGGGGAAAAGAGGGAAAATGAGGCAGAGGAATGTTTGAAGAAATCATGTCTGAAATGTTCCCAAGTTTTGTGAAATTCATAAAAGAATATATTTTGAAAAACAGTCAGGTATGGTGGTATATACCTATAATTCCAACATTGATGTAGAAGGATATCAAGTTCAAACTAGCTTGAGTTAGACATTAAAACTTGATCTCAACTGGAAGGGGAGACATGGTTCAAAAAGAATTTTAGGTCTGGGAAGGTGGTTCAGTGGTAGAGTGCTTGCCTCACATGCATGAGGCCTTGGGTTCAATTCCTCAGCACCACATAAACAGAAAAAGCCAGAAGTGGCCCTGTGGCTCAAATGGTAGAGCACTAGCCTTGAGCTGAAGAGCTGAGGAACAGCACCTAGACCTAGAGTTTCAAGCCCCATGAACCCCCCCCCCAAAAAAAGAATTGTATTCATTATTCATTACCTGATTCATGTCACTGTAACCTCTCTGTATATCAACTCTACAATAGCAATTTAAAAAAATAAAAACTATCTCAAGACACAAAATTAAAAAAAAAAAGCCAGGTACCAGTGTTTCACACCTATAATCCTAGCTACTCAGGAGGCTGAGATCTGAGGATTGTGGTTTAAAGCCAGCCCTGGCAGGAGAGTTCATGAGACTCTTATCTCCTATTAAGCATCAAAAATCCAGAAGTAGAGCTATGGCTCAAGTAGTACAGTGCTAGCCTTGCACACAAAAGTTCAGGGTCAGTGCCCAGGCCCTGAGTTCAAACCCTAGGACCAGCACACAAAAAGTTTTAAAAAGTTGGCAATTATGGTTTAATTTTAATATATTTATGAAGACCTAACAGGTTTGGAAAAGTTTAATGATTTTTTATTACTGGTCTAGATCAATAATCTTAACCTTGAAGATATTAAATTGATATATTAACTGATAGGTTATTGATTTGTCCAGGGTAACACAAGAATCATGGTTAGCTCCCAATTTGTTGTTATTTAGGGATAGGGAAACTAGGATCCAAATTAAGATCTCTTAAAGACAAAGTTCCAAAAACAAAGTCTCAAGCTCAAACACTAACCTTACAACTATCCTTCTTGTTTATAATATCACCAGCACAAATCATGTCTTCCTTGATGACTGACTCCAATGCCGGCAGAAAGCCGCCGATTGGATTATAGAGTTGTTCACACTCCTGGCGGGTAAAGACAGGTACTTCAGCTTCCTGCAGGGTATGAGGGTAATTATCACCTGTAGATGAAGACAGGAAAGAGATGTAAAACAGCCTGGAAAGCTAGGCACCACTCAGTCAGAATGTGTAGAAGTCTCTCAACAGAAACCATAAGGCAGATTTCAGTTACTTCCCAATCATGTTAACTTATGGAAGGATTTTTTGGTACAATGAAATAGAAAGTTGTGGAGAATTTTCAATTATTTGTTGGAGGATTTTTCTGTTGTGTCATTTTTCTGAACAAAGATTGTTATTCTAGATAAAGATTATGCATCTGGTTGAGTAAAGATGTGAGTATTCTAAGGTATTTCAAAACTTTTCCATTTTCTTGCTTGCAAGTCAATTCCTGTTTTATCTCTACTTCATCCAATGGAAATAGCTGACACAACACATTGGAAATGAATCAAATTGATTTAGACTCTCCAAACTTTATGTCAAGCTCTAAACCAGAGAGAAGGAATTAAGTATTTAAATTGTTAGTATCTGCTCTAACCGCCGTAGTTAGACTCCAGACAGGATATAAGACTACATAACCATGTAAATGTCAGAAGAACTTTTTTTATTTGTAAATAATATCATTATGTGGATCTGATTTTGTTGAAGAACATTTGCTATAGTAAGGACATAGCTAGAATGTGAATGTTCTGGAATAGGAACACCAGGATGATGTAGGAAACAACCTCTGTCTCTGCCCATTCTCACCTGCATTCTCCTTAACTAGTCCCCATCCAGTCACCCAACAAGAAGCTGGGATCTTCAGCTGCTTTGAGGTACTGGGCAGGCAGATGGGTAGGATGTCCGCAGAGAAGGTGACTTGGGAGGACAGTCTGAGCAAGGCAATGTCTGCGTTTGAGCCATCATATTTGGGGTGGATGACGATTCGGGACACATAGTATACCTTGCCTTTATTTGAGGCGTCTGCTTTAAGGGATCCCAGCCAAACGCTGTATGAATAAGCTGAGGTTCTATGGAAAAAAGAGAGAATAAAAATGCAGCAGGCTGATAGTCTACACTGGGTAGGAGAAGCTGTCTCTATATCACAATGAACACAGCAAGAAAGGATAGCATACTGGGAGTTAATCGGGGTCCAGTTGATCTTGGGCTAGGGTTAGTTTGATTCCTTCTCTCTATTGCTTGGCCGCTCTTCTGTTGGTCTCCAATTACATGCTCATTGCTAGAATTATGTTTTATGTTTTCTCCCCAATTCTCTCGCTGGTAAACCACCACCTGTATGCTTAATAGTCATTATTCCTCATTGTCAGTTTTGATTTCTGTCCTGAGTACTAGATCTTTATTTCTAAATAAAACTTTAAAGCAAATTGTAATGAGGGCTGGGAAGGTGGCTCAGTGGTAGAGTGCTTGCCTTGATTGCATGAGGCCCTGGGTTCGATTCTTCAGCACCACATAAACAGAAAAAGCCGGAAGTGGCACTGTGGCTCAAGCAGTAGAGTGCTCACCTTGAGCTGAAGAGCTGAGGGACAGCGCCTAGGCCCAGAGTTCAGGTCCACAACCGGCAAAAAAAAAAAAAAAAAAAGCAAATTGTAATGGGTTACAGTTTAAATAACTTAAAATGTCAGGTACTTTGATAATCTGTATAAAATAAATGAAGAAGTGCTGCTGGGTGTGGTGTGTGGTAGTACACACCTGTTAGGCAAGACTCTTCCAAAAAAAAAAAAAAGTGGGTGCCTCGCATGAGTGAGACCTGAATTTATTTCCCAGTATTGCAAAAACAAAAATTCACCTTATTCTGAGGCAATCTCTTTCAGCTGTTTATCCCTTACTCATTTCTCTGGTGTTTTCAAGAAACACTATATGTTTCTTAACACCCCCTCCTCTTTTTAGAGTATTCTTAAATGGAAGGAGAAGACTAAGTTATGTATCACAGCTTACCCCCAACCCCTTCTTTCATTTTTTTATCCATCTTCTTCCCCAGTGTTGTCATAAGTTTCTGTTAGCACAGGATTTATGTGCACGTTCCCGTGGCTGAGCAAACATCATATCTGGTCTCGTGATTACATTTCTTGTAAAGCCTTTTGCTTCTCCTAGAGTTAATAATGGCATCTCACTTTGCTCTCTTAATTTTCTGTGTACCCATGAGTGATTCATTATTTTTTCCACAAACTCTGTCCAAACTGTAAATCTCACATCTAAGCCTGCCATGCATTCTATTAAGACTGCCTTTATTAGTGTCCTCTGCCCTCTGGTTCTATCAAGGCTGCCATCATTCAGGCACTTCCCTTATCTTTTATGATCTTCTTGGGAATTCTGTCTGGATCTCATCTTTCTCTTTTTATTTTCCCTTCATGTTGGTGAAACACATGAGCCTATGACTTCCCCAGAAAGTGTGCTTGAGAGGTAACATTTTGGCTGCTTTGCATGTTTGGAAATGTATCCTTTGTACCCCATATTAATTGGTATTTTATATATGGGGAGAATTTTAGGCTGATTTGCCCTCAACATTTTGACGTTGTTACTTCATTCTCTTTGAGCATTCACTGTGGTTGTTGAAAAGCCCTGCTGTTTTGACTTCTGTCCACGTTAGTTATCAATTATTATATAACACATTATGGCAAGGCCTAGTGGCTCAGAAAAACTGACATGTATGTCACTGGGTTCCTAACTCCAGGTGGGCTCAGGTATCACAAGTTTTCTTGGGGGAGAACTGGATTCCAGACTCCGGTTTATTGCTTTAGGCCTTCAGCAGAGTCATTTCCTGGAAGACAAGTTCTAGTGTGATGGGGTCTCTCCCCATGGCTGCTTGTTCTAAAGGCAACTTCTTGAATATAATGGCCATGTTTATTACACCCCCCTCCAAAGAAAACAAAAAGTTAAGACAACCCCTCTGCTTATATTTAGGAAGTGATTTGTTTAAAAGTTAGAAAATTTCTACTACAATGACTGTCCTCTTCCAAGGTGAGGACAGTCCACTCATTTACATGGTTTGTTTGTGAAACCATTCCAACATTTAAAGAAAAGCTGGCTGTCCACATGATAGCAGCTAGAACTCACTTTGGTAGGCAGTGTGCGGCGGTCAGTATCCAGTTCTTACTGATGAGGGACCCTCCGCAGATGGGGGCCCTGTCCAAATGAAGGCTGACTTGCCAAGGCCAGCGTCTGATAGCAGCATCCTGCCCACCAATGATGCGGCTTGAAAATACAGGTTGTCCACACACTAGAGAAAGAAGTGAAAGAGAACTGCGGAGATCTGGTCCCCTTCCTTTTATCCCCAGACCTTACCCCTTCCAAGGATCTAAGCCCTCCCTGGAGTCCATGCTCTGCCCCATCTGAGTTCAAACCCAGCCTGTGGAGACCACTCACCTGATTGCAAGTCTTTCTTTTTGGGAACAGAACAGAGGGAAAACCCTAAGGAAGACATGTTATTAGTGCTTAAGACATCTTGTATCTATATTCACTGAATTCAGGTATTTCCAGTTGTAAACAAAGCAATGCTCTGAAATGCTTTTTTTTTTTTTTTTTTTTGTCAGTCCTTGGGCCTGAGTAAGGGCCTGGGCACTGTCCCTGAGCTTCTTTTGGTCAAGGCTAGCACTCTACCACTTAAGCCACAACACCACTTCCAGTTTTTTTCTCTTTATGTGGTACTGAGGACTTGAACCTAGGGCTTCATGCATGCTTGGCAAGCACTCTACCACTAAACCACCTTCCCAGCCCTGCTTTTGAGATTTATAAGCTGGTTCCTTTTGTACTGTTTAACTAAATTGGCACTTTGCAGCATTCATGTATCATTCTCTGCTGCGGTTCAAATTCTTTTAAGTCTCTAAGGGCCAGAAAAAATAACAACATGCTTATGCTAGAAGCTGCTCCTATTCCATCCTCTTGAAATGTTATTTTCCTGGATCCTCTTAGCTGACTTAGTTATTCCCATCAGACCAGGTTTTCTAGTTCTGTTGGTGGTAGTGTTTTGGGTGTTTGTAATGTGGGCTATGGAACCCAGGGCCTAGCACCTGCAATCAAGCGCTCTACCACGCAGCTGCCTCCCCAGCAGCCTCTCCAAGACCTGGCTCAAACGGCTCCTTCGTGAGGCTGTCTTTGACCAACTTACTTTAAACTGCCACTCACCTCTTCCCCCTGGACTTCAGCTGTTCCTGTCCTCCTACAGCTTTTCCTAGTGACTTCTCACATGCTTTCTACTTTACCGACTCCCGGTCCCATGTAGACAGGGATCTTAGTGTGTGTACTGCCCGTGTCCAGCACAGAGCATCCCAGCGGCGCCTGGCCTACAGTAACCGCTCAGGACCGGCCCCCTCCTGTGGCTTCCCCGGGCGGGCGCAGCATCCCACGGCTGTGTATGATGCCTTCTTCCGTGAGGACCTCCTGCGGCCTTCCTTCTTCCTCCGCCGCACGTGGGGTCCGGCCTCCGGCCTCCTCTCGGACACGGCGGCTGAGACCTTCCCCTAACGTTCTCGGTGACTGGCCGTCGAGAACCTCCTCCTGCTTGGGGTTGAGAGGAACGGAATTAGGCCTGTCTGCCCGCCCTGGGCCCGGGGCTCACCCAGCAGGAGCAGCAGCAGGCCTGCACGGCGCCCCCTGCCCATGGCGCCGGCCTCCCAGCTGCCTTTCCGGTTGGACTCTGGCCGAGGAGAGGGCAGGGCCACCTTCTGCTTGGATTCCCGCGGACCCCCGCCACCCCCCCCCCAGATGGGAGCTGCGGGGGACCCCGGGGCCAAGCCTGGGCCTGAGGCGCCCCCTGCCGCCTTGGGGGAGCAGGGCGCCGGGCACCGGAAGGGATGGGTGGATAGCAGGATGGGGGCCCTGGAAGAAAGAGGAACCTGGAAGTGGAGGTGTCCCTCCGGTGTTGTTGTCCCGGAGGAGAACATGGGGGTGCAGAGATACTACCGGTTAAGAAATGTGACAGGAGGGATACCAGGTTTGCTCATAGAGATACTGCACAGATACCAGCATCTTTCATTTACTTTTATCTTTTGTTTATTTGCTGGCTTTTGTTTTGTGCATAGCCCAGGCGGACCACAAACTAGCATTCTTCTCACCTGGGCCTCTAGAGTCTGGGGTGAAAGGTCGATGGAGGGCTTGGGCCGTCTCCCTTCAGAATCTGATCAAGCTTAGCATTCCTAAAAGTAGGACAAGGCAGACATGGCCCTCTTGATGTGGCCCAATGGGAAGCACTCAGTACCTCCCATGCAGTGTTCTCACACACACAAAAAAAAGTGAAACCTGAACCTCTAAAGCTACTTTCACTTACCAAAAGTACAAGGGATAAAAAGAATAAGTTAAATGACAACACAAGGAAGTAAATAGTCAAATCCAGTATGTGGGATATTGTATAAAGTGGCTGACCTAGTTTCTGTCATAAGACAATCCTATGAAGGTAAAAAGGGAGAGGACTGCTTAGGTTATCAGACACTTGAGATCCTTAAGACTCTATGTCCCTTGTTTGAATCCAGATTTAATAGACCAACTCTAAAAATACCTTTGGAGGTAAATAAGGCAATTTAATAATGAATTGGCTGTTAGATGGAGTGATGCTGATCCTGGCAGGTGTAACGGTGGCATTGGATTATGTAAGGAAACACCTATTTTTACAGAGAATCTGGGACCCACAGTCCTTTGTCGTGTCGTTGTGTGGGAAGCTCCTCTGGTTTTCAGTCTGCAGTATGCTTGAGTCGTTTTCATGTTTTGATATCGTGACCTTAAGCAAGTAAACTTTCTCCCAGGCCTTCATTCCTCAGTTGTGTCATGTAGGCATTTGAATCAATTAATGGTTTTAAAAACTTTTATAAATGTAACATTGCTTATCACAGTGCTATTTATTCTTCATTTATTGTCTTCATTATCCTTCTACAAATACTCTGTTAATTTTCATGATGTCGTTGTACTACTCCTGGCTTTTCTAAGATAGGTAGTACCAAGGAATAGGAAGCCGAAGAGTGGATGCCAAATGCCCATGCTAGACTTTGCTGGAAGACAGCTCTTTGAGCTTTCTGACTCACATCAGTCTCAAGGATAAGATCTATACCTAGATGTTCACACTGAGCTTTCCTTTGCATGTCTCTGGGTTTTTTGTTTGTTTGTTTGTTTGTTTTCATTTGTTTGTTTTTATTGGTTGTGGGGCTTAAACTCTGGGCCTGGGCAGTGTCCCTGAGCTCTTCACCTCAAGTCTAGCACTCTACCATTTGAGCCATAGTGCCACTTCTGGTTTTCTGGTGGTTTATTGGAGATAAAGAGTCTCATGGACTCTCCTGCCTGGTCTGGCTTTGAACCGAGATCCTCAGATCTCAGTCTGCTGAGTAGCTAGGATTACAGGCATGAGCCACTAGTGCCCGGCTTCCTTTGAATGTCTCTGCTGTACTCAGTTAATTGCTGATTTGGGAAGGGTCATGTGAGGGTGATGTTAACCATATAATTACTCAGAACAAGGATAAAGTTTCTACCTCTCCATTTTTTGCAAGAGGGAACCAATAATATTCCACAAGATTTTCATAAGAACTATGTGAACAATCATGGAGATAGTAGTTAGCTTGGTGTGTTAATTTTCCATCAGGATGAGGAAAAAAAAAGGAGAAAAGATTTATTTTTACTCATGGTTTCAGTACATAGTCTGACTGGCTTCATTGCTGTAGGCTTATGGTGAGGTATGATACCATGTTGACAAAAAAGTGTGGTGGGAATCAAAGCTGCTCATGTCATAATAACCAGGAGGTAGAAAGAGAGAGAAGAGGATGAAGATCAGGTCACCATTCCAAAGCATATCCTCAGGTACCTACTATATTCAACTAATCTAGTTTCTGTCATCTCCCAGTAATGCCACCAAATTATGAGGCCATGAATGTATTAATTCATGACTGGGTGAGAGCCTTCATGATCCACTCACACACCATCACTCTGAATAGTGCAGTAGGGACCAAACACACGCACATGAGTTGGAAGTGAGAAGGATTCTATATCCTAGCACAACCCCCTGTCCCAAAGGCTCACATTGATCTCACAAATACAAAATGCAGTTTAGGTCCATCTCCCAGAAGTCCCACAGTCTTAGTAGTTTCAGCATAGTTTAAAAGTCCAAATCTAGCCAATAATGACTTATACTGGAAGACTAGCTACTCTGGAGGCTGAGATTGGGAGAATCATAGTTTGAGGCCAGCCCAGTAAAAAGCTCAAACCTGTCATCACAGTTAGGAAGAAAGTATAAATAGGGGGATTGCGGTTCAGGCTTGCCCTGGCATAAGCACAAGACCCTACTTGAAAAATAACAAAAGCAAACTGGGCTGAAAACATTGTAGAGTGCCTGCCTAACAAGTACAAGGTCCTGAGTTCAAACCCCAATACTGGGGAAAAAATAGTTGCTGTTTTCATTATTGTGGTTACTGAACAGCTATCACAGAATTAAGCATTGACTTAAATTAGGGTAGACACATTATCTTTGCTATGGTTTAGATGGAAGCCCCTGCAGACCAGAGCTTCTGAACCTTGATGCTGTTGACATTTTGGTCCAGATGATGCTTTGTTGTGGAGTGGCTGCCTGTTCAAAGTAGGGTATATTATCAGCCCAGGCTTCTGTGTTCTAAGTAGATGGCACCATTCACTCCTAGTTGTGACATGTCAGTAGGTAAATATTGCCCAATGTCCCCTGGCAGAATCACCAGTGAGAATGCTGCTGTAGAGCAAGGATACCACTTTGAGGATAAAATAGGGACAGCAGCCCGTTTGCATCTTTCATAGCTTTTACCTGTGTTCCATACAGGGCAAATGGACTCTTGTTTCTAATTCAGTCCATCAGATTATTACATCATGAATAAGTCCCTCTAAAACCATCTCCCAAAAAAAACTGGCTAGATCTGGTCTTCATTCTTGAACTTGGACATTTTGAGTCACACATTAGTTTCACTACAGTAAGTCATAGAACTTGTCTGTATACTCACCATCTATTATGTCAGGCCCAGCCCTGGGCAGCCTCCTCCTCTCTCTCTCTGGCTCTTTGCCTTCTTAACCAGTCTGAAGGTTTTCCTGAATTGGTCCTGCTCTACACCCTTTAGGCCTTGGGCCCTATTTCCCTAACGCAGCCTTCCACACCTCCAGTGGGGGATTAGTCTTGTTCTTCGGTTACTAAAGATAGTTTCTTTTGTGTGTGTGTTTTTAAAAATTCAATTCTATTTTTCTACTTTTTAAAAAATTTCACTTCATAGTAATGGAATTTTTCCTCCTAATATTGACAGCTGTAGTCTGTAGCTCTCATTTTGTGACTTCAACAAAACAAAATCGGATACTTTCTGTTTACAAGCTACTGTCCTAGATGCTGTTAGAGGGTCAGGAAGATGAATAGAACACTGGTTTCTCTTCTCCAGGCTATTCTTATCTATTCAAAGAGAGAAGGAAGCTGTATGCACCCAAATAACTACAAAAGGAGGCCAGGAATCCAATCAAAGGTACAAATGACTAGGACCAAAGGGCAGATTTTTTTTTTGCTGTAGTGTATGGAAGAACTTCTAATAGAGCTTTCTAAAAATAAATGGAAGTAATTTATTGTAATAGAAAGACAATTTTTAAGTCAGTCAGTCCTAGATAAATCTGTTAAATATTAAATATTAACTGTGTCATCTTAGACAAGGTAACTTCCCTGACCTACGGCTGTTTACTTCCTTAGGTTGTTAAAACTAAGTAAGATAAATCTTGAAAGCGACCAGCAGAGTACCTAATACAAAGGAGTTATAAAGTAAATCTAAGTTCCTGCCATAGCTAAGAGATGTGATTAAGATTTCACCCAGGGAAACCACGTGGGCAGGCCTTTCACACACAGCAGTTTGGTTCAGCTCATCCTTCTCTTGGCTCTGAGTCTTACCTTTTTAGCTATGAGAATTCAGGGCTTGTCAGAGCACCTCAGGGAGATCAAATTCAAAATCGAACTGACTTATCCTATTTTAAGAAACTTGTATAGAAACCAGTATATTTATTTGAAATGAGGACTGCTGTTATTTTGATCATTTCTGTCATTTTTCCCAACCAGATCGCCCTCTTTTTGCTTATGAATAGGAAATCCACATTATTAATTAGGTGGTGATTGAGGAGGTTTCAGAGTAGAGCAGATGGAGGTAGCTAATTTCCATGAGCATTTCACTTCAGGATGAGACACTGTAAAACCTTTCTTATAAAAGCTAGGTAAAAACCCACCCTGATAATTCATTCCTATAGTTCCAGCTTCTTGGGAGGCTGAGGTGGGAGGATCACAGTTCCAGGCTAGCTCAAGTAAACAAGATTATATCCCCCAAAAGAAAATACAGACAAAAGGGCTGGGGATGTGACTCAAATGGTCTCACACTTACCTATTGTGTGTTGTGCTTGGGGTTCAATTCCTACCTTAAAAAGGAAAAGAAGATAAAAAAGCAGTTCTTTATAGCAGGTTTGTCTTTTAAGTAAATGCCAAGTTTATTTCCATCTTCTCCTTCCCTCAGTAGTATAGGGTCTGATGAACATGTGGTTTTCTGACTTTTCCCTTCCAAGATG